GTAGGCCATCGGTTGCAAGGTCGTTCAAACATTCTCCTACAGAGTCAAGGCCTTTGCTTTGAAGGATTTATGAGGCTGAAAGAGACAGAAGCTCATGCAGCTTGGTGAGGGCGCTAAACTCGGTCGCGGTTACAAAAGGCTCGGTTGTGGTAGCAGAAGGCCCAACTGTCCTTGAAGTATTGGAGAGAAATGCGTTGAGCTCGACCTCTTATGAAGCCTGGATAGAGAAGAGTTTATTAGGAAAAGGAGAATTCAAAGTAACGGTAGAAAAGGAAGTTGTTTTAGACCTGCCGAGAAGAGACTTTGACCATGTCTGCTGGTTCATTGCTCGAACCCAGAGAGCTTAATGGTTGAGCCCAGTGTTTAAGGCAACTTTTTAATTCATGTGGCCGATAAAGGTTATCTATGTTTGATGGCCACTAAGGTAGCCAGGAAATATAAATAACGCCTTTCGGCGTATAGAATTTTCGGTGAAATGAACAATTGGGCACCTGACATTTAATGTTTTCTTGGTTTAGAATTCTAAGGTTGGAAATTAATAAAAGAAAATGATTGAGCCGTACAAAAGTCGAAGTGGCCTCCTGAGGAAGAATGCTGAGATTTTGGTCCTAAGGATGAATCGGCATCTTTGTTGTCGCTTTTGGCTCGATTGGAGGCGCCGCTTCATGTCCCGGACCTACTTCGGCCATAAGAGGGTCGACCTGGCCGGCCGGCTAAGGATTGGTAGTTGGTAGTTCAACTTGTCGATAGCGTCTCACCAAAGGTACTTTGCTCTCGTTCTCTTGGTCATATAAACTGATTGTTCGTTAGTCGGGAGATCCAGTTAAAATAAAAAAAGAGTAATCATTAAAGAAAATGGTCGTACCTCTTATTCCAGGACAATTACTTGAGTCTTGTTTGGATTTCGGGGAGGGTTTTTCTCTGCCGTGGTGACTGTCGCCTCCAAAATAGTAGCTGCTGAGCCGACATCAACAAGAGCAATAACCGGCTTCAGAGGTGCAAGTCCCTCGATCATAGGGATGACGACTGGTTCGACTTCAAAGGCGGCCTGCGTGGTGGGTTGAACCATGGTCACATGGCCCATGGTTGGGATCGAGGGGTTTTGCGACACTTCTGACGAGACTTGGTTAATGGGAAAATGGAGAGGGACACTAGGAGTGGTTGCTCATGTGGTTTGACTTTAAATGACATGTATATCCCGTTCTCATTTCTTTGCCTTCTTCTTGATGCGTTTTTGGGGTCGGACAAAGTTGCTAATCGTCTTGACCTCCAAACGAAGCCGTTTGCTCAGACCGATCAGCACATGGGCCGTTATTGGAGTTGGTCCGGCTGAAGGAAGTGCGATGATCACATCCTTCTTGGGAGGATGAGAGAGTTTCTTTTTTGCCGCGACCATCGCAACCACGTCGACTTGTTTTATGGCACGACCACCTGGAAAAACAAAATAAGTAGATAAACAAAAGAAGTAAAATATATATACCTTGAGCTGTTTCTTTAGATTTTAGGGCGAAGTCTTCCTCGGTCAATCTTTAAAAAGCTTCTTCGAAACTTCCTCTGCCGAGGTACCGAAGAAATCCTTGACGTAGGCATCCCATCAGTCGGTGAAGGTGCTGGTACAATGATTTCTGAGGTATATGGCTGAAGGTAAAATTTAGTACATCGATCTAGGAATTCTCTTTCGACCTCATCGAATTCCCTATCCGAGGAACCAATGAGGCGTTCTTGGCTCAAGAGTGAGCGAGAAGCGAGGAGTGGTAGAGGACAGCCCTGGAGGTAGCCTAGTTGGCGGGCTAAGAAGTGAGGATGGTAAACCTCATAGCTAGCCCATCAAGTATCGTAACCGAATGGAAGGTCACAAGCCATGACAAACGACCCCCAGGATTATCGAAGGTTGGTTTACTCTACTTCTCCCCATTCCGATGTAGGGAGCCTGATGGAAGATGGATATTTTTGGCAGTGGTAGACCAAAAACTCCTCGCCAGATAGATCTTCAAGGTCGAAGAAATATTTGAATATGTCTTCGGCCGAGTGAGCAAGAATAGGGTGCGAGGCCAGTTGAAGACTCATCACCTCAAAAGAGTTAAAGCTAGGGATCTCCAGCCTTAGCGTGCAGAAGTAAACCTGCAGCAAGAGTTGGAAGACCCAGAGTTGGCCGTTATGATGCAGATCGATCTTTCCAACAGAAGCCGCGACCAAGCACCAGTTGAGGTTAGCAAGAATGGTCATGCTAAGGGCCAGAACATGGCCAGGGCTTCGGCCACGGGCATGCTCTTGGCCAAACACTCATTCAACTTGGTACAAAAAATAAATTTATTGTACTAGTAGAACAAGAAGGCCTTGTGCTCTTCCTTTTTTAGAGCTTCCCCTCCGAGCTAGCAAAGTGGGTGATCAGGGTGTTATAGTTGAAAAAGTTTTTGTGTAGCTAGTGCACACCTTCTTTCGACGGCTCATAACCTTATTTCAGCAATGCTTTAATGGCACGCTCTTCAAAAACCACTTTTAGATCCAAGTCAAAATGATACCGAGAAAGAACGGTATCGACTGGAAGACCAAAAAAATAAGTGCCAAGTATGGTCGTGATGTCTAGCACGGTAGGGCCAATAGAGCTGAGAGGAAAGACCATTGTATTGGTGGCCGAGCACCAAAAGCTCAGGGTGGCAATCAAGAGCTCTCGATTCATTATGATTTCATGGGTTGAAAGTTTGATGGCATCAAAGATGCCGAGAGCCTTTCACTCATCTCCAAAGTATGGCTCAATTCGAGTAACCCAAGTAGCCCAGGTCAAGGGGGTTAAGAGCCAGGCTCCTTGGGGTTTGGCCGATTCCCATTTCGACCAATCGTACCTTTGAAATAAGGGTTCAAGGCAGTGGGCCTTCAGCATCATAGTGCTGGATTCTGGGACGTCATCATTGAAAAGTGGTCCCAGAGTTTGGTGGGAAGGGCTCGAATCACCCTCAGATCGGAGGGTTTTGATGACGTTCCGATCAATGAAGTCTCGGCACTTGTCACATTCCTCAGTGAGCTTGGTGATGAAGGTGTTGGCAGCTATTGATGAAGACTTGAAGGTTTTCTGGGTTTTAAATTTGGTTTCTTTTCTGGGTTAAGAGCAAATGGCAAGAAGTTTTGAAAATTTGAAAGCGTAAAAGATCGTATGAAGTTGGGCTAGGTATTTAGATACGGTTAAGAAAGAAGATCAAAGGTTTGGGTTTAAAGTGGGAAGGGTAAATCCGATCGAAAGAATTTCATAATCATGACAAATCCTTTGAAATCTAGATGAAGAGGTCGAAAAACATGGGAATTTAGGTTGCACGATTGTGTGTAATGGTGAAATTTATGACAAAAAGACGTTTCGGCGTCAACACGCCTTGAACCTGGGGCGACGAGGAGCTGCCACGTGTCAAGTTATGCAGAAAGAGACAGAAGTGGGAGAATGTGGGAGCTGCCACGTGTCAAGTGGTGCAACGTTGTCAGAAAATTTGATGGGTGAAAGACCATGCTTAATAAATGCGTATGGACGTTTGGAGTGTTCGAGGCTTACAATGTTCTTTGGATTTCTAGAGGGAATAAGCTAAGGGTTTATTCTTCGACAAAGAATCACTTCAAGGTCGAGGCTCGGCCAAAGATTGTAGGCCGAAGACCTTAGAAGCGAGGGGACAATGTTTGGGCCCAAAATATTGTTTTGGTTCGAGCTCAGAGTTGTTCTTGACCCAGTAACATTCATCTAGAATTGTCATGGGCCGTCCAGTCAAGGTCGGCCGAATCCTATTGTGAGGATGATTGGTTTAGATAAGGGTAAGGTAATCGAATCCTAATGTAACAATGAGTCTTAAAGCTGCAGATGTTTAGAATTAAGGGATGAATCTGGTTCGTTATGAAACTTGGTTCAAAGTCATATTAGAGCTATGATTGGCCGAAACCTAATCAGATTGGGTTGAGGAGTCCTAATCTGAGTATATTTGTAGTTCGGCCATGAATGGGGTTCACTATTATAAATAAAGAAGAGAGTGCATCATTCAAGGTCCTTCCAATTCAACACACAAATTGCCCTGCGCAAAGCTTCTCAACAACCTTTGAGATTTTATCCTCTCCCTATTTCTTCTCGCCAACACATCTTCAGTTTGGATAAACAGCATTGTGAAGGTACATCTTCAGTTTGGATAAACAACATTGGAGCTATAGAATCAACAAATCATTGAGCACCTTCAGTTTCGATAAATAGTACTGCTTCGAGACTGACTGGTTATTTATCCAATTCTCAGTCGATAAGGATTTTTGAGTCCTTGTTGGTAAATGTCATCTCATCAGCCTTCTTGGTGAAGTGAGATGTTACAGGTTATTAGGCTCGGCACGTTTAACGTTGAGTTGTTTTATGATTGGATATTCACAAGTACACTTTAGAGTTCGGCATTCCGACGGCCGAACCACATTTACCATCAAGACATACATCTCTTTCAAGTATTTGTGTCCATATAGTTTGGTACCAGTTTGACGAGCTTATACTTTCACGAATATAATCACCGTGACCGAACCCAACGCCAACGATTTGTGAACTTCGCAGAACTAGCAGCCTTGTCTTCAGGCTCTAGAACCCGAAGGCCGAGACATGTTCCTTCCTCAACGCGACATCAACATATTTTACTCTTCAACCAAGCTCGACTGTCGAGTTGGCACGTCCCGCACATAATCGAATGACGTAGTTAACTTATTAGTTACTCAGTCTGCGCGCCACGTAGGCTTGATAGTTTTTAGTGTCAACACTAACACATACGAAATCATAAAAATATCAAATCCCTTGCAATTTCTTTAACCTTGTGATGGTGATTTGAAAACGATACTTGAACTTTATGTGCACAAAATATTTGTGCTGTACAACTTTCGAATCTGGACCTTTGGTTTTTGATATTTGATAGTCTGGTGATATACACCATAATCAAATGGTGACAAAATTTCCAAGAATAATGTCCACAAATAACTTAAAGGGAAATCGAACCGTACACGTGGCAAAACCATTCATTCTAAACGACAATCCTACACCCCCATAATAAACAGTGTTTGTGTCAGTTTGCTCATCATTAAAAGTTAAAACCGAGCTGGGAAGCGAGTCAGCCATGGCGATGGAGGTGAGTTCATAGTACAACGATGATTTCCATGTCGGTTTTTGATACGAAGAAGAAATGAGTTGGTGTTAAATTGTTAATTTTAATTGAAATTAAGTTAAATGGATTAATGGACGCTGCTGCAGGCATGGTTCATGAAGGACAGCGATTCAGACCCAAGGCTTCCTCAGCATCGCAACCCCAAAGAGTTTGTTCCTTTGGACCATTTGGCAGGTCAGACTAAATCCCTTCCTTAATCAGTAATTATGAATTAATTAGCATCTAATCATTGATCTTAGACTAATTAAAGAAGGATGGTGGGTGTACCGGTGTTGCAGAGCTGGGTGTGCTCCACTGGCGCTTGAACCCAACGGATTATGAAAACGATCAAGAACTGCGCAAATTAGGGAAACCAGGGGATATAATTACATGGTATTACTATTATTATTACATCACCATTTCTTAGTCAAAAAACTTCATTTCATAGTAAAAAACACTTAAACTACCATTTAACTCTGACCGCAACTGTTATTGCACCCGACTATTATTGAAACCGACGTTAACCGTTGACTTGTTAGGGATTTTTCCTTTCGTTTAATTATTAAGTGTTTCTCGCTAAAATTAACAGTTGAGGTTTAGGGCTTCTATTGTGCTATACATGCTTGCTTTTGTGGGGATTGGTGACATTATAGTTGTTATTTTGTACGTTGGGTTTTCGAAAAAGTTGATTTTTATGCTAATATGCTGTTAGGGTATCATCAAAGAAATAATCTTTCATATGGTTTGGGGATTTTGTAGGATTTGCTTGACATATGCCCACAGAAATTGAACAATTATGAGGACAAGTTGAAGAACTTCTACACAGAGCACATACATGCTGAGGAGATACGCTACTGTTTAGAGGGAAGCGGGTACTTTGATGTCCGAGGGAAGGATGACCGTTGGATTCGAATTTGGATTAAGGCCGGTGATCTTATCATTTTGCCCGCTGGGATTTACCACAGGTTCACCCTTGATACCACCAATTATGTTAAGGTAAGAGTCCAATACCTAGTATCATGTTCATGGGGCATGTCTTGATGCACACAAAATTTTAGTTGTTAGAAAGAAATGAGATTTCACATAACACTAATTTGATTTGAAGTATTTTTTGGTACCAATGTGATGCTTGTGTTTAGAACGACGAGTTCAGGGACAAGTGTACTGTTAAGGTTTAGGATATTTGACCACAATGTAATGAAAGCATAACACGGGGCAGATTGAAAGCACCATATGAATAGAACACCCAGAAAAGAGGATTTTGACCCAATTAATTTACTTGTTGGTACGCATGATTTGTGAATGTTTTGAGTTTGATGTGATTAATTCGTATTTATGGGTGTTTTGCAGTTGATGAGGCTGTTTATGGGAGAGCCTGTGTGGACTGCGTATAATCGGCCACAGGAAGAACATCCGGCTAGGAAGGAGTATGTAGAGAGCTTCACTAAGAAAGTAGGAGTGGCATTAAAAGCTCATTAAAGGGTCCCTCCTTGTAGAGTATGGATATCTATAGTTTGAAAGTTTTTATTATGTTTATATGTACTTGAAACTTGAGGTGGAAGTTTCATTCTAAATATGGTGATGTATGTACTCCCTTGTTATGAATTTCATAACTTGGGAGTTATTTCTGCACTCTCATTTTCATGTTCTGCACTCTGTGCTATTTTTGCAGTCATTAGATTGAATAAATTAAAAGAAAATCTAGAAACATAATTAGGGGGGGGAATACATAAAGTAAAAACGAAAGTACAGAAATCGCGCCCCATTAAGGGGTGGTTTGGGAGTGAGATGCTTAAAAAAAAGCACCCATGAAAAAAAGCTGTGAGAGTTTTAGGTGTTTGGTAAACTAAAAAAAAAGGCTTATTTTGGAAGCTGCTGTGAGAATAAGCTGAAATCAAAGGAAACAGCTGAAGCTACTATTTGCAGCTTTGGAAAACTGTTTTTTTTTTTTCAAAGCACAAGGAGTTACAGTGCTCCTTTAATAAAAAGACCTACTATCAGACTGCTTTTTTTTTTCAAAAGCACTTTTACAAAAAAGTTTATCAAACACTCTGCTGATTTATTTCACAGCCGCTTATTCTTACAGCACAGCCGCTTATTCTCACAGCAGTTTTTTTTTTCAAAGCACAGCAATACCAAACCAGCCCTAAGAATCATGCTTTTGTTGAAAGTCCTTTTTATGTCTATGATCCCCCCAGCCAATGGTTATGCTTCTAGTTTTTCTTTTGCTTCTTTTGTGAATAAAAAGGATGAAAGAAGAAAAAGTGTGACAAGTATTGGGCCACTTTTCTAACGTAGTCCTTGAATTTGCATCAATCGACCTGACCGCAATAATATTGTGGGAGTCGAAATCTATGAACGATTTGGTTCTTCACTCGGAAAACAGGATGCTTCACCGACTTCAATATTTTTCTTATGGCAAACCGATTTCCCATTGAGAGACGAGTAAACTTTTGGTGCATGCGGAATACATTTATGCGATGATACTATTCTACTTAAATTATGATATATTTTACATATCTTATAGTTATATTGAACGTGTCGTCTATTCATATAATAGCATGTAAAATAGTAACATCATGTCGTCAGGATATTCTAAATAAACACAAAAAATGCGACCATGCTCTAAATATACACAAAAAAATGAAAGGCCAAAATTAGTCATAACAGCATCTTCCTGTTTAGTTTATTTTATAATTACTTTTATGAGGCGTTGAATATTTGTAGCAAAGGATTTTTTTCCTTCTAAGTATGGTGTAGGTTGTTTTGTCCTGTCTGTCCAGATAAAACGACGACGTAAGCGTCACTCAAAAGAACGACGCGACCTAACAAATTCAAGGAACCTGGACAAAGCACAAAATTGCCGTGTGCGTAAACAACGGATGGGCATTTCCGTCATTTCAGTATATCCTCCGAGCTTCCTTTGGAGTGGGCCGAGGCAAGCGTGGTCTCAAAGCCGCTCCAGATTTTTCAGGAATCGTATCGACAGCCAAAACGCATAGCGACACCAGCAGCAGCCATGGTTGCCACCCAAAAGGTACCTCCAAATCCCAATTATCTCTCTCGCTCGAACTTCCTTGTTTCCCAGGAAAAAAGGAGCCATCTTTTTCCCGGAATAATTTTCTGTTGTTTTTGTGGGTTTTGGTTTAATTATATGTTTTTTGGTCAAAGGTTCAAGCTTAATGCATCATTTGTTGATTACTTTCTGTTAATTATGTTTGTAATTGGTTTAATGGGTGATTAAGGTGATTCCAGTAGTATTGTATTGAATTTTGAGTTATTACCAATTAGCTTTGTGTGAAAAGTTGTGAGAATTAAGATATTGCTTGAAAGTAATTTTGTTGAATTGTAGTAGTAGAAAGGCAGCTAGATACAAGTACTAGGCTATGGCGGCGACTGCGCCAATGGGTTTGTTTTGATTATAAATAGTGATTAAAAGGGTTGGAAGTGTGATTGTTGAAGAATTACACACTTTTCCAGCTCCGTGGTATTGAATCTTGGGGTTTTCTACGCTATGTTCGATGTTACTTTGTTTGTAGGAATAAAGATGGAAAGAAAAAACATGCATTTTTGTGATCAGGATATCGTTCTCATAATGTTGACATATGCAGGATCCTAGAGAGGAAGTCATCCAAGCATGGTACATGGATGATAGTGATGAAGACCAGAGGCTCCCCCATCACAAGGAGTCCAAGGAATTTGTATCCTTGGACCAACTTGCCGGTAAGCATTTTTTGGGAAACAAATATGTTTTAACATATTGTGCTTGTTTTAGTTTTTCAATATCAATGTATTAGAGAAACCTTGAGAGTGACATCTCTTATTGATGAAATAAGATGAACTAGTCTTAGGTGGTATTGATTTATACAAAGTAGACCGGCTAGATGGGTTTTTAACCAAATGATACTAGTTAATGTAAGGGATAAAATACCAAGCATGCCAAGACTAATCTAGGAAGAGTTGGAAAAGATTTATAAAACTTAGGTTTCGCAGGAGATACCGTTTATAATGTAAAACGTAGGTTGATTCCACTTGGTTGGGGCAATAAGGATGATGATATTTTTTCTAGTTATTAACTTCTTGGGAGCAATTATGTTGATCTGCAGAGCTTGGAGTGCTCAGTTGGCGTCTAGATGCTGATAACTATGAAACAGATGAGGAGTTGAAGAAGATTCGTGAAGAACACGGTTACTCCTACATGGTTTGTCACACTACCTTTTGTTGTTCTTTTCTATATTTTTAACTTCTTTGTGTCATGTAACCAAACTCTTTAGTTCATTATGTCAAGGCACTGATTTACAAGAATGTCACGTTTCGTCCATCGATCTCTAATATCTTGTGAAAATGATTGTTTCTAATTGACTATTAAAATGTTGACCCTTTATGAATGCACACTTTGGAATGTTGTCAGCCTTTTCCCCCTTCCCGTTTATGGTTTGAATACCAATAACCAAATTATGGTAACTGTGAATACGCAAATTCACAATAACTCTCTCTGCACGGTTGTACCGTATATTTAACCGGATAATGTTTTCCTCTTCTAGGACTTCTGTGAGGTTTGCCCTGTAAAGCTTCCTAATTATGAGCAGAAGTTAAAAAATTTCTTTGAGGAACATCTTCACACTGATGAGGAGATCCGATACTCTGTGGATGGAAGTGGTTGGATTAGTTATGCTTTATCTTAGTATGTTATCCCTTCTTTACTCACCTCTTCCGATTAGTGATTGTGTACATTTTTGTGAAGGTTATTTCGATGTTAGGGACCGAAATGAATGTTGGATTCGCGTATGGGTGAAAAAGGGGGGAATGATTGTTTTGCCTGCTGGAATTTATCACCGATTTACATTGGACACAAACAACTACATAAAGGTATTGGTTCATAGCGCCAAAATGTTGCAATGTCTACTTTTTGTTTTTTCCCTCTCTTTTTTTTTTTCCAGCGATTGGAGACTAATTGTGCTTGTACAAAGACACACTTCTACATTGTGACTTCTTAAAAGCATTCTATTTCTGGGAAGATGGTGAAGGTTCAGGATGGGGATCTTCCATTATTTGCTTCAAATTTTTTTCTTACGTAATGAAACAAAATTTCGTCCCCATTCATCAGTGTGCACTTTGTCATCATGATTTCCCACTGAACTTGTGACAAAAAAACACTTAAGTAGTTGAGGCACTGTCACATGACACTAAAGCAGATATCAGCACTTGATACGGCTTTTGATGGACTTGTTCATAAAAAGTGCATTAATTGTAATGTAGATGTGAATCTAATGATTTCATGTGCCTTCGATATGCGAGGCCTGAATTGTTTTTACATTTGTGTTTGTGTCGATTAAGAAGTTGCACATTTAACCTTATAGTGTTTAATTTAATAACTTTAATGTTCTCAAAAACATATGTTTAATGCAGGCAATGCGTCTCTTTATTGGTGATCCAGTTTGGACTCCCTATAATCGTCCTCATGATCATCTTCCCGCAAGGTATGGCTCTGTCTTTCTCTACATTTTGGACATCCCTACTTACATTTATGCATGTGATAGAATGTCGGATAGTCTTTGAGTCTTCTTATAAAGGGACCTTTCTTTCAGGGAGGAGTATCTTAAAGCTTTTGTGCATAAGGAAACTGGTGACCATGCAGTTAATGCTGCGGCATAAAATATGGCTTTTGCTTCTAAATGTGGGTTTACAAATAATGAAGTACGATTATGGCTATGCATGGTAAAGATACATATGGTTGTATTGTCTGGGATGCAACTTGTAACTTTAAGGTGTCGTATGATGCTAGTTAAGCTGTGTTGTGGTGGTAAGCCTGGCCTTTGCGTAAAGCTCCAATAATCTTTACCTGTCGTTCTTTGTGTATTGATACATAAATCGGTAAAAATTTAATAAATATATAGTTATATCGTGTAATATTGTGAGTGCTTGTGTTTGCAGTGTAACCTTTATGCCCTGGCCTCGCATGCTAGAAGGTGTTGGCTCCTTTGTGTTTCTGGTTCAGTCACCTCACTCAGATTTGGAAGCTACGGCATATACTTGTTTTGTGGTGCTCAATTCTTTTAGATGATGTGGCCAAACTCGTGACGTTGGATTTTAGTATGATGGTGACGACATTATGTGGTGTTATTAGTCCCGTAAAGGTAGACAACTATATTGATATGATAAGACTAGGAATGCTACGTGGCGGTGTAATGGTTCTACGGAAAAACTTATCGTCCTTTTGAGTGGGTTCTTGCTGTGTATAAGGGGTTTGCTTTTGGGCTTTCTACTGAGTTGAAATAGGATGGATTAGAATTGGTCAATACTTGACATCCAAGGTGAAACGATCCAAAACATGGCTTGATTGCTATCCTTATGATTTAGCTTCTTTCAAATGCTTATACAAATTGAGGAGGCTTTCACTTGGTTTCGATAACGCTAAGTGCAGCGGAATTTGAGAGTAGAGGAATGTACGGGTAATGAACTTGTAATTCAAGTAATTAAGAGTATTTCTCTCGAGTATTGCATATGCAAAGAAACTTTTTGAATCATGCTTTACTTCGGGTTTGATCCAAACACGACTCGATTTTTGTGGTAGTAAATTTCCATTGTTTACAGTCTTGACAAAATTGTACCTACAAAATTAAATAACACCTTTGACGAGGTGGGGTGGAGTTTGGCCAATAGATTTCCGATGCCTAAGGCAGTTTCTCTAAAAAGAGAGCTTAGGCTTAATTGCGTAGCATAAGCTTAACTGGTGGAGATGAGGTATTTATAAAGCTAAGGCCAGCATGGGTGTAGGGTTTAGCTACACATGGCAACATCCGATTGGCCAAGGTGAGTCTTCCGTATGATGGATGAGGAAATAATAATCCCAAAAATATAAATTAAGAGATAATATCTTGAGATTATCTGGCAAGTATCCTTGGTTAGATGTGATTGAAATTCCTTCACTATTTGAGTTGATCTTCAATTAGAAGAGTATTAAGTATAAGATTTAGAACTTAACCCTATTCTTTGACTTTTCTCCTTGCCAGTGGCAAGAGAGCTTGATGACGTCATAGTATCGTCTTCAAGGAGATTGAACTGCACCTGTATTAAATGCGCGCCTCGCCAATTTAATTAGGGCATTTGTCTTATTAAAAAAAAATCTACGTGGCAGTTTCATAATTTTTAAGATTATTTTTAGCTTGCAATTACTATTCCTAGTTGTCAATTATGTCTTTTCTCCTATTTGTTGTGGCATTAGGTGATGACAAAGAACCGGATATCATTGTGGTTGCCGGATCCTGGTGCAATAATTTAAGACCAAAATTGATTCTTATTAAAGTTAGATTTGGACCCCCCTACTTTGCTTTTTGAAATATATTTTTGTCGGCTATATTCCATGAGTTCTACACACATCTTCGAGCCCTTAAAATATCAGTTCTTTTAAGCACTTGTTTAATCAGAATTGGTCTCCTACACTGTTGATTTGATTGAGTTTTAGGTGACTAGCAAAAATTCCAAGCTGCAATAAAACCTTCACCATCTCCTTCGACCCAATTACATTTACAGGTGTGCTGTTTTCGCACCGTGGTAAGGCCCTCAGTTACAGTAATTTGAAAAAGTTCTAGATTCCAACTAGTATATCACAGTCAACTTATTATTCGTGGATTTTACTCAAATGTATGTTTATCTTCACTCATCACAACCACGTCTCATTTGATTTTGATGTGGTCTCGCTTGTGATATCGCTTGTTAATAATCATTTTGTGTGTTTTTTTTGTATAGGTATTGTTGTATTTGCCGTCTTTGTAGCAAATGTATACCAGTGGTACTCGTACTTGTAGTAGCTGTGTAGGGTCTTACAATTTACATTTGTTTGTGCAAATTCTCTTCAAGTCAATGTAATTATAGACTATGTACTCATATAACAATATAACATCTTATGTAACTGTTCTTGTTCATAGATTGTAATAAAAAGGGTTGAATTTAGTTTTGATATAGGTGCTTTTGAAAGGTTTCAATTTTTTTTGTGTTCTTGAGTTTATGTCTCTAAAAGCACCTTAATTTTGTGATTAACTTAAGTCTTTGCGTTTTGAAGCAGAGTAGATTGGCACTTGAGAGAGAATGTTGCGTGAAGATGACCTTGGAGGCCATCCAGGGAGAGCATTTTCAGGTCATTAGGATGTAATATATGTATATACAAACTACTCTTGGCACATATATTTCAAAACTCTCTAGACCTTCAACAATGTTTTAAACTCCGCAACAACGCAAGGGTACACCTGCTTGTATTAACTAATTTTATGTCAGATTGTCTTTCTCCTTTAATACATTTGCTTATGTATAAACAATCTTGTATTTAGTTTATTAATTTACTTTCTACCGTTACTTCTAAATTAAAACGTGATATGTACAACAAGTGGTCCTTTACCACAGTGGTGGAAAGATGTTGAGCCTTTACATGACCACGTGGATTCAAATCTCGTATGTGGCTAATCTAATATTTAATCTAAAAAATACATGATCTTTATAAAAAAAACATAAATATTAAGTTAGATGGTTGGGAGGGTCTAGTAAAGGGAATTTTTTAATTCCATGATTTAATGTCACAACATTATAATGTAAGATGATCTGATTTATGCATATTATATATTTTAGCAAATAATATATTTATATAGAAAGTTGTGGTCCCCGCTCCTCAATTTTATTTTCTCACTCATGTTTTAATGAAATATTTAAGGGGTAATAATACATTTGACCTATTATAAAATGACTTTTAAAGCTCTAATAAAAATTAGGGAGCTTTAATAAAAAAGGATTTCTTCAACTTTTTCTTAACAAAAAACAACCTAATAACTTCATTTAGTAATAAGGGTTGAATTCTAATGAAAATTATAATAAGCAAAAAACCGAAGAAAGGCTGTGAGGCCTCACCTCTCTCTCACTGTTCTCCCTTTCTCTTCACTTATAAGTTATAACCACCATCTCTCTCTCATTTTTCACACATCGCCATCATCTCTCTCCTCTTTCGGCCTTCACCATTAACTCTCCCTTCTCTCTCTCATGTCATTCCTTCCTCCTCTTCCTTTTATTTTTTAATTTTGTGTCATGTATAAAATTTAAAGATTAGTCATATTTTTTGAGACATAATAATATGAATTATTTATCACATGCCAAAATTCAATAAAATAGTTATAATTTTTTTTAATACACTTAACAATATTTAAAAAAAAAATTGTTTCTTAAAAATATTAACTTTTTAGAAATAGTGACTCTACTTTTAAAAACAGTGACAATATTTCTAGAAATGGTGACACTATTTTATAAATTGTGTCATTATTTTTAGGAATAGTGATCACTAATTCTATAAAAATAATTTGAATTTTTTTCTTTTTTAAAAGCATTAACAAAAAATTAAGTGTTTTTCATGAATAAAATTTCATAAAAAATAATTCAATAAATATGTAAAAATAAAAGGAGTGGATGACATGAGAGAAAAGAGAAAGAAAGAGAGAGGGGGTCGAGAGAAGAAAGAGGGGGTGGGGCCTAGTAGAAAGGGAGAGAAAAGAAAAAGACAATCTTATTAGGCCATTTTTATTAGGCTATTTAATCATTAAATATAGTTAATAGGATGCTTAAGGTGAAGGTTTAAAGTTTTGAAGCCTTTTTATTAGTTTCATTTAAAAATCATCCTATTCTATTTTCATAGTTGAAAGAAAAAAAAAATTAAACATAAGAAAATCTAGAAGAAGACAAAACTACAAAATTAGAGGAAAAAGGAAGAGCCTAGCAAAACCTACACAACCACGAGCCACCCCCGATCCAATTTGACACTTGACTGCAACCATCCTCCACCCAACCAAGCCCTATCTGTGGATGCAAATTTTCGCCATCTGTTCCTTTGACGAAAAAATGCACCCGCAAAATAATAACACCTAAGATTAAGGCCAAAAGTCTCACCCGCCCATGATGAATGGGGGGCTTTGGCAGAAGAATCTTCGATGCTAAAGTTAGAATTATGAAAAGAATGTGTTTAGGTGTTTGTGGGTAGCAAAAAGCCTCTTAAATTTTAGAGATAAATGGTGTATTTATAGGAGAGGAGAGGAGTATGGACTGGCCCTCTACGTTTAGGGGTGGCCGATGAAGACAAATATCTCTTGATCATTGGTTATTGTGTAACCAATGCCACATCACCCTAAGTTGTTAGAATGTTTGTTAGGTGGTTAAATGAGTTGTTAGTTGGTTAATTAGTTACTTTGTGGTTATTGTTCAGTATATAATGTACTTCAACTTACAAATGTAATCAGTTGTCATTTTTTCTTAAATATACAGAAGTTTCATTTCTCTCTAGATCTTCAATCTTTCTCAATTCTTTAATGTTCTTTGATTCTTTCTCAATGTAGTTAACATGGTATCAGAGCCAGCAGGCTCACGCCATGGATTTTGGTGGTTACGTTTTCATGAGATTTCATCATCTTCTAGTTTTATTTCTCTTCCGTTAAGTTCTTCAGTGCTTCTGCAATCATTCTCAATTTTTTTTCTCTTCATCGTTCTATAATTTCTAGGTTATTTTTCCTTTTGGATTGTGTGCAGAGATTGTTAGGGATATATGGGTTTTTGAAATTGTGGTGTAATCTGGATGCAGTTGGCTAAATGCAGTTGGCTAGTGAGTTCTTGCCTATCACCTATTTGATCTTATGTGTCAATGAAATTTAGTGTTAGAACAAGTGATCTTACATGCCATGTGTTCGAGATCAACTATTTGATGGATTGCTCAAGTCAGGGATATAAGAAAGGTTCTATTCTCAGTCCTCTATGATATATTTGGAGTTTGTGTATGATTCATTTCTGAATTCTTGGTTCAATTGATCTATGACCCATGTTGAAGAAATTCAAGAGACGTTTAATCATGTGAATGAAAAGCTCACATCCTTGGTTTTTTATTATGGGTTTCTTTATATCTGATGGAGTTGCTAAATTTTTATGGAAATTCGTGACACTTATTAATTGTCTGCCATGGGTTTGTCACTACGCCTAAGAGAACTGGGTTTTTTTGTTGGCCTTTTCATTTTGTTGTGAAGATTTCAATGGAGTGAGAGAGTGAGATCAGAGATGTTATGGACACGATCAATTGCCAGAGATCGGATGGTTCTAAGAGACAATTTCTAATTGATTTTGGAATCAATCCATTTGGAAGTAGTGGAACGAGACGGGAAAAATTCCTCCAATTGGTGATTTTTCTCTATGATCTTCTAGTGGTTGCTTCTGCATCTCCCAAGTTTGGTAACTTTCTCTTAAGAATTGCTCATGTTTCTCTACTTGAAGACTAATGAAAGTCTGAAGCAATCTCAGGCTCAACAATTTGCTCACATTGATGCAATCTCAGGCTTGGTACCCTAGCTGAGATTGAGGGGGGATGAAGACATATGTCTCTTGATCATTGGTTATTGTGTAACCAATGCCACATCACCCTAAGTTGTTAGAATGTTTGTTAGGTGGTTAAATGAGTTGTTAGTTGGTTAATTAGTTACTTTGTGGTTATTGTTCAATATATAATGTACTT